CGGACTAGGCAGTCTCCTCTCAGTAATTAGCGTGCGCAGCAGCCAACGAAGACGAACTACTTGCCAGGAGGCCCGGGACGCCCGGCGTTGCCCAATCGAGTGGGATATAGCTGGCCTCATGGTCACGATGTGCGGCGAGCTTAGAAGTGAACTGTGAAAGCTCGTAGCTTTAGTTCTACTCATTGTAAGGACTCAACCCTTTAGGCTGTGCTAGATTTTTTTTCTCTTTTCTAACGTGTGCGTAATGAAATGGCTGACATTCCTTGGTGTGCACCCGGTGATGACCGCGTAATGCAAAGAGCCGCTTTTCTTCCCGGAACGCGCGCTCCTAAAAGCGGGTGCGCGTCGGGAGGCCTATACTTCATTTGCCGTCTCAGCTTAGTGAAAATCCATTTTTTGTGCTCTTTTTTGTTATAGATTTATTTCTCGTACTGTTGGTTGTGCAATATAGGTGATGTACCCCGAGAGTCTTAGATCACACGTGTTTGTTCAGTATGCCTTTTAAGAGGTGCAAGGAGCCACTGTTTTTGTGCACTCAGATGGAATTAGTAGTGTAACAAAAGCCCTCAAAATTTTTCTGTCAATGCGCACACAGGGTTTGCATGCTGGCGGAGAAAAATCTTCTACTGAAACCATTGGCTCGGTTGACTTTCCTATTGATCGAAGTTTTTCACATTTACGCGTGAGTGCTGAATCGCTAGAAAGATAGAATAGGTGTCTTTCAGCTCACCACCCTCATTAGACGAAACGCTTCGCCTTTCTTTTTCTCCCAACTGCTTTCATCTGTCTCTTGTCACTGTGTTGCGCATGAAACCTGACATTCCGACACCCGTGTCACTTTTTATTTGCAAAATGTGTGACTAGAAACGATTTTTTTGTGTGTGTATAGCTTGATGTGTTCGATGAAATTATTTCAGCCCCATTTATTTTCGGGGGTACTCGCACAAATATCCAGATACAGTACCCAACAAAACGTCATAGCTATCACTGGCTTGTTGAAAAACTAAGCTTCTTTTTTGCGGGGGGGGGGGGGGATGAAGAATAGCGGAGCATTGGTTAGGCTTTGTATTTTACATTGGTCATTGTCTGTACTTTTTTCGTAATTTTGCCATGCACGCAAATGTAAAGAGTAAGCTCACGCGTTCATACTGGTTTCGCGTTTTTACTCTTTATGAGCTCGTATACTGTTATGGCATTTATTTTATGGTCCAGGACGTCCCAAACAACAGCCTCGCGAATACACATAAGCACACTCAGTTCAGGTTAATCAGGTTCCCGGAATGATGTTCACTGCGGCTCAATTACAGTAAAAAAACGCAGAACATGTGAAAAACTCACTCACTCACTCCCCTTCCCACACACACACTGAGCCAATTTAAACTAACGTAAAGCAGCATTCACAGTAAAGCGAATCGGTAAGAATGCATCACTGAGACTGTGTCACCTTTTGTGTCATTGTGGTTAAAGTCATGTCGTATTGTTTGTCACACTGCATTCTTAGTAATGCACTTTTTAACTATAGCCATCGTGTCCTCTTGTTTTCATGTACAGACGCGTCCACTGTTAAAGGGAACACTCGAATGCGTATCTTTCTTATTGCTGACTCCCTAACTGCAAGTGGATGGGGAAACATTGAAGGTGCGCTTTTCTAGTTTGTCGAAATGAGTCAGAGCTGTCAAACGCCAGTAGCCATAAGCAAATCTAAGCACTTATTCTCATGTGAGAAAGTGAAATACAGACACACACTGCGCGCAAGTGTTCCCTTTAACAGTGGCCGCGCCTGTACTATTCGGGCCTGTCTCATCTTCTCCCTGTCTGCGTCAAAACAAAAACGTGTTGGGCCACTGGCTCTCTGCTTTTGTGGCCTCCACGTCCCACTGAAAGCGACGACCAGGACAGATGCAGGTCTGACTTGAGTTCACACACTTGAGAACAAGCTGTTTTACGCACTAAGCATCATTTCGAGCTCCTCTTCTTCTCAAGCTAGTTCAAGGACATGCGTTGTTGCACTATGCAGCCGCTTACCTAGAACATGTTCTGACGTAGGTCATCGCGCGGCTGTGCATTTGAGTGTAAAGTCACGCGTGAATAGCGGCGGCACTTGAAGAGTTCACAGAAATGAACACCTTTCGTTGTAGCTTTGCTGACGCTGCCACCACTCAGCGGCCTCATTACGTCTACGTTTTTCCCTCCAAGGCTGCACCCGGAGTGAGAGAGGCTTTCACTGGGTGCGCTAGACGGGCGCCTGTGAAGGGCGGCCCAAGCGGAATAATTAGGGTGCGTAAAAGGAAAATGCGAGTCCGCTGGTGAGTGGGAGGCGATATGGGAGTCAGTGAGTGGTGTAAGCAGAAAAAGTAGCCGAGCCGAGCGGGGTGTTAAGTTTGAGATGCGGGTGGTAGGGGGGAGAAAAATATCGGAGAGAGTGGATGAGATGGACGCAGTAAGAAACGAACGGGGAGTTTGCAATACAACAACCAAGCGCAACGTATAGACGTCGGTGAAAACGAGCGAGCTTTTTAAAATTTGCGTCGCCACGCCAGGCAAACGGTGCAGGGCTTCCACCCCGTCTCGCCGTCTCATTTTCTGAGCTTAATTTATGATGGGCGTAAATTACGTGGTGCTCCTAGCTTAGCGTCTTCTTTCCGCTCGGCGGGCTAGTGCGCTCAGAATGAAGTTTGGGCACGAGCTGAGAACATAAAATTAAACAGTAAAGCTCACTGAACAGGGCAGCAATGATGAGGAATAATGAACTGGAACGAAAAATTGCCCCAATAGGCAGATGAGAGTAGAAAGTGGGGGGATAGAATAGTTTCAAGAGAGGGACAAGATGGCTACCTAAAATATATGTCTACGTGCTCGAGCAGCATGTCACTCATTGGGATTAGTGTTCGGAGTGTCCAAAAAAGAGCAGCGTTTTCTTTGCTCCTGTGGCAAAGACAAAGCTCCGACTGTAGTGGGTGCCCTTGTCCTGTCGAGATGAGCGATGATTTCACTGTGTAGCAGTTCTGTCTGAAGCAGCGGGACAAGCTCGATTTCGCAGTGCGCAGCTCGGGCTTTGCTCGCCGACGGAACAGCTTGCCTGCGTGTGTCTGACGCAACGCTTTCGCTACATAAGATGTCTCGGCAGACTGGCTTATTACTTGGCCAGATATTACTTACCATCCAATATCTCCTGAGAGTGACAAGGCACGTGTCGATGGCGTCGGCAGAATTGAACTGGTAACCATTCGTCAACGGTATAGATACAAAAGCTTGGTTTAAGTGGGAAATCCACGCTTCCGACAAGACAAGACCTGGTCGTTCTCGGCTGTGTGCTTCAGGGGAATTAGTTTGTAGACAAAGGCGAGCAGATGGCAGTTTTATATTGTGTCGCGTAGTCAGCGGAAGGATTCGGAAGATTATAAGATGACAAAGAAGTCACCCAAAGATTGAGATACAAAATTATCCGCGTTGTACGAATTCCATTATTCGTCTATAGCTCATTTCTATTCTCCAGTTGAATTTCCCTCCTTGTTCCCTTCTTTCTTATTAGAACTTAGGTTGTTCGTTCTTGCTACATTTTTTATCACCTTCAAAGGGGAGATGAACGCGTTGCCTTGCTTTTTTACATTGTAGACTTTTTTTTGTTAGAGAGGTGAAGTGGTGGCGGTGGTTGTACTGTTATCACAAGTGGGTGTTATCCCAGCCATCAGTAGCGGTGGATGCAGTGCTTGCACGACACTGTACAAAATTAAAAACGCATTTAAAAAACATTGTTAAAAAAACTCTCAGCAAAATATTATCTCAATAATAGTGTTGTTTTTCGAGGTGTATTTTTGCTGGCGTCAAAAAAAAACTTATCCACGAGAAGCGTTTGAACAGTGTAAAAACGCAAAAAAAGATTATAGACTCCCACATCCAAGGTTTATACATACAAATGGTGGTGTCAGCTTGAGTACTTACAATTACACTGTTGCTATCACTCGCGAAAGCGAAAGTAGAGAGAGAGATGAGGATAACTGGCGAGAGCCGTTGGCACTTGCATCGTAGCGCTGTTTTTCGTCGTCACGGTTAGCGGAGTGCAGCTCTACGTAGAGTTCAAATGTTTGCAAAATACTTGCCTGTCGATAGCCACTAAAAGGTGAAAGACAGACCTGCATGGTGCGGCAGTTAGGCAGTCTAATAGTGAGGCTTTTTGCTCATTGCGTGAGGTCACCGCACGTGATGTTGACGTATAGGCGGAATAACTTCCGCTGCGATAAGCACTCGAGGTTCCTCTGCGAACATTCACCCCATTTTCCTCCTCAACGGCTATACCCACATTCACCTGTCCTATGATAAGTAGAACTCAGAATGCGCTGTGGTCATAGAGTCTCTCACAATCATGCCTAGAGGAAAATCTGGCACTAGTGAGCTGCTGGATGCAAGGGAATGACGGGATACGTGGGCTTCGAACTTGACTCGGATTTGTATACCTCGAAGACGCGTCTGGCTTCACGGTAAATTCACCGATTTGTTAATAAAAGAGCACGTAATAAGCTATTCATTTTTGTCATTGCACAGAAACATCTTGTATTTAACACTAGAACCTTGTACATTGATGTACAATTTTACGAAGCGTAAGAAGTAACCAGCGGCCACTTAACTTGGCAGGCAGACGACAAGCAAGCGTTCCCTCCGCCACTTTTATGTCATATGTTTCTTCCTTTCACCGTTAGGTTGTGCCGGCAAGGTAAATAGACTTGTATTTTTGAATATAGTATGCGTGAATGAGATCCGCCTATAAACGTTTTGTTTTAGTAAAGCTTTAATTACGCAGCCGCATTCGCTTTTGAGCCAAAGTCTCGCTGAACACCAGCCAACACAAGCATCGCAGACACATATACCGTCATTCCCAGCGCTCCAACATCGCCCCTTAAGAAATTCGCACAGACAGTGGCACCACACTTCCCTCTACGTATTTGTGAGAAACTCTATGGCTGTGGGTGCGTGCAAAGTGATGGGAACATACAAATAAAAAGTCATCTGTTCAACTCGTACGTTTATTAACACTTCAACCTGATTGTGTCGATGCATCATTTTCCTTACACGCATTTTTTTTTTTCACTAGGGTGCACTGGACTGTTGCGGTGCACAAGCTCCTTCTTCCTGAGTAACACAGCAAAATGCAGCCCCGTTGACAGTCGAAGCGACCGTGGTGGTAAATGTAGTGTTTGTGACAAGACGTAGTTGAACCACGCCTGCTTTCAGAAATAAGTACGGCACATAAAATGAAACACACACACACAAAAAAAACAACAACCGCGTGGCGTTTTCTCTTTTTTATCACGTACTGAGCAATGCCTCGAGAGCTAGGTTGAAAACTTCATCGGAAACTATCAGAACGCGCATATGACGCAGCTTGATATTTACCAAACAATCGATTTCACATGCAAGCGGTACCACATGCTTCGCATTGCAGTAAAAGGGAAAAAAATTGTGGGGAGATGGCGACGAGAGGACCTTTATAGAAAGCTCGAAGTTTGAAGCACACAGACACGCACACAGAAATGTGTACACACATATGCGTATAGATATCTATAAGTATTTATATATATGTATAGACGTGGTTTTCTTCTCTTTTTTTTTCTCAGTTCATCGCACTCGCCATAAATACTACACTGTAATTCTGATAAAATGAAGCAATTTCGATGAAGAGGCCGCGATGAGCGTTGCGCGCGGTATAAAATATAGATTGTTGTATGTACAGACGCGTATACAGTGTGTACAACTTTGCGCTCGAACAACTCGCACTTACTTCCAGTAATTGTAGTTGCAGTACGCCTCCACTAGTTGCAGTTGCTGTTCGACATTTCGCCTTTAGAAACAGTATTTCTGTTAGTGTCTGCAATAGCGATGGAGCTCGACTCTTCAACGATTGCGCCCATCAATATTTTTTACATTATTTTTCGCTCGTTACAGTGAGGAACTGATAGAAAGACGGGGTTCAGAAATTGTGTACGGACCGAAGCGCTGCCAGCTGACGAACACCAAGAGAGCTGCCATTCGACTTTGACGGTACGCAAGATTTCTTTCGAAATAATACCCATAGTCATAGACAGACTATCGCTTCGGAATAGAAAATGGTGAATTTTCTCGCACATGCAATTTAGTTGAGTCTTTGTATTGGCTCAATGGAGGTAACCAGATCGAGCCAGATGGTAATATGAACGATGCGAAGAATGTTTTACGTGGACAGCGTATCAATTGTCTTTTAAATCACCATGAGCACGACAAAATTCTGCATATGAACCATAACGATTTTTATAGCCGAAAATATTTCGTATAACATGCCCTGATTCAAAAGCCGTTCACAGGTTATCATCAAATGAAACGAGCATAACTAATTACGTTCAAGGTGGGGGCTCCAAATTTTTGGCCCCCTATGTATATACTCAAACTTAGGCAAGTTTGTGCGGCAGCTCTGTGGGTGTATGTCGAAAAAATGCTTTCAAAGTCGACGACTGCAATCAACGAAAATTGGGAGCGAGATCATGCGGATTTCGCGTGATCAGTCCCTGCATCTGAGGCGCCTGCCTTTCGAGGGTCATTCATTCAGACGACGTCTATGAGGTGTAGTTTAAAATGAACGGTATAGAAGCCGCTTTCACGATGTTTTTGGGGACGGACAGCCTGGTCGCCACACTCTTGACAGCATAGATCCCGCGAAACGTCACAAAACCTAGTCCCCATCACGTGCTTTCTTGTCCACGAGTTCAAGCTCCTGAATAACACGCCCAGAGAGTAAGCTGCACTGAGTAACATCTTGGGAACTACCCTATAGGTATTTATTCAAAATATCCTCCAGCGACCATGTGCTTAAGCCCCTCTCCTGTGCCTAAGTCGCGAACCCATTCACGAGATTTCTTTTATCGATACACGTAAGCTATATTCTGCACAGTATGAGCTACGCTTGACATACAACCTTTTGAAATGTAATCGCTCCATCAGAGCACGAAGGTCGCCAGCGATGGCTAGCAGCTTGTTTTATAGCCTCGACCCTTTCAGTTCTCACTCAAAAAGGGCGCATATGTTTACCTGAATTCATTCAACGGGTATGTTTACGATTGTGCGGAACGTCATTCGTTCCGGGGCACGCCGAGTTTGAAAAGAGACTCCTAGCGTCGTACGACACTTCACTGTTGAATTTCTTTGCACACGGAATGAAATTATGCAAGCAAGTGCCACGGAGGAAAAAAAAACAAAAACACGACCACACACTTGTTTCATAGACACAGTAGGGATGGATAGAATAGGAGGTTGTGCCCTCACTCATCACAAGAGATCCTTAAATGCCTATAGAACGATCATGAACAAGCGTTCTTTCCACAAAGCTCAAGTACATTGAGTGTCTTTTGAGTGTCTTTTTAGGACGTATATCATAAGGTGAGTATATTATTTGTTCTCCACTCGCACGGCGCAGTCACACCAGCGTACGCGCTTTCTAATCCTCGACACAGCACCTATTGTTCATGATCACTTCCGTGTTTTGGCAACATGGCAGTCTGACCACGCACAGCTGACGCGCAGTTAGCTAAGTTCGTAGTCTTTCTTCCCAGCACGTGGACTCTGTCAAATACCTTTGTACAGTCACTATGGCTAGCACAGGAATAACGTGCAGTTCGCACACACCACTGGCGCACCACTTTAGGCAAGAACCGTGGGACACCTGGAGCATCACCCAAAGTTTTCAGTGACTCCTTCTTGTCTGCCGCCGAGGTTGCGCACTCAAGATGAAATGCTTTTAGTAGTTGCCGGTGGTACTCTGACGTTGAACTTCCGGCCTAGCGACAATGACACAGCGAAGTTGAATGTTTTTGAGTGCTGTCGGAAAGCACACGTCATCTTCAAGATTGCAGGCCGTTAAGAGCAGCGGCGGGACCATTATCTTCTGACGCGAGGTTCCTGTGGCGGTGGTCCAGATCCTCTAACAGTGTCACCCCTCGCGAATGACTAGGTATCGTTAACACTCTTTCCACGCTGAGTCGTTGAATCGATCGGACAGCGCACACATCTCTCTACGAGGCTCGTCTGTTCACGAGTTGTCGCTGTACTCCTGCGAAGTAGCACCTCCACCGAAGGTAGTCATGCGTGGGACCTCCTTTCCGCTGCTCGCGGAGAGCACGTCCGGATATCAGAAGTCCACGATCTTCTGGCGGCAGAAGTACGGGGTGTGGTTGTTCACGTTGGTGATGTAGTCGGCGTGGAACGGGGGCTTGGTGGGCGACGTTTCTAGCACAGTTGGACGGAGCTCGTCTCCCTCGACGCAGGTGAAAGTGGTCATGTTGACCGGTCCATCGCAAGGTCTAGGTGACCTGAAGACACAAGAACAGAGAAAAGCAGGGAGAGCTTTTATTTGGTGCAGTAAAAATGCGCTGCTGTTTGTTCGTTCGTCATAACAGTCTAATTCGATTAGGAAGCAGAAAGAACCACTAACTGGCACGATAATTCCTGAGAAAACGGTTACTCATCGTACAGCTATTAGCGCGAATCCAACACGTGATTTAAAAAGCGGGATGGCTGCATTGAAATAATGCTTTAGAGCAAGAGTCGGTCGACTGCGGTTCAGGGAGCAGTACTACATGGTCTCCGGCACGGCGCTAGAACCCCATTTCTTCTGTCTTTGTAAATTCTTACCAGAAGGCATGAATAGCACTTCGGACTTCAATGAGCATCTCTGTTGGTAATTTACGTTTGTAAATTGCAACCTTCTTACATACAAGCTGAAAAAAAACAAGGTTAGCTTTCCAGTGGATTTTTTTCTTTTTGCCTGCAAATCCGACGTCTCCCCCCCCCCCCCCCCCATTTTGATCTGGCATGTAGGCAGCGCTGTGTCTTCGCCACGCAACTCTGCCCTTTGTTTCAAAGTGTTGCTGACCACTGTTTTATAGGAACTGCAGAAGGCATTGCACAACACACAGCACGACAATCAACGAAAACTAAAGAGGCAACATCATGAAGGGTAACCAAAGAATAGTCTTCCTCATTGCACAGTCTTCTAAACCTAGGAATGCTTGCACCTTGAACTTGTGCAGCAGCGTCAACTACATGAACAATTATTGTTCATATTCCTGTCATATTTCGAGTAAGAAAAAATAGCTGTTTAATAGGGCATTTTCGAGTCTTCAAGAACATCTATATAAAGGCTGCGTATGTATTTTATGCAACTTTTGAATACTACTGTTATGTTCTATACTTCTCTTTATATTAAGATTAGTGAATGAAGTTATTGAAAATATAAAATGGTACTTACGTTTTGCCATTTTGCACAATTTTGTCACCTGGAAAAATGATATCAGAAGTATTATTTTTTGGGTGGAAGAAAATACCTGTTACGTGTGAACACCGAACATGGGAAGGATACACATTAAGTAGAGAAAAAAGAATACCCAACTGGTTAGTGAAGAATTGAGGGAAAAGAGACAGAAAAAGCAGCCGTGCCAAAGTACCAAAGAGAAAAAGCTAAGCTAAGCATGACTAGATACTAGGCATTATTATTTTCAATAGACCATAGTGCAAGTTCAAACACCATAGAAATCGAAAAGAAGGTTCTGTTATGTACTCATTTCAAAAGCTTGATGCAATAAGAATATTGTATGATTACAATAGCATTCATGCGCTAAATCATTCGCTCATGTTTCCTTCATTTATGGTCCTAAACTTCATTTTCTCATGTCTCTATTCAGTTTATGTTGCATCTAAATGCAAAACTAGGGCAAGAGTGGATTGCAGGATGCTTGAAATAATGAAAGCCTTCAGGGCTAAATTTTTCGAAGAGTTTTCCTTCAGAAGGCTGTGGTTGCTGTTGCCACTGTTCATAACCAGTTTGTCTCAATTTTTTTTTTGTCATCTGTGACTTTGACTCGCCTGCCGCAAAAGATTACATAGTGAACAAGTGATGCCAGGATTGAGAAATAGAAAAAAAATTGCACCATCTCCCCGAAGGGAACCCTGATGGAATGCGATTGATTGATATGTGTGGTTTAACGTCCCAAAACCACCATATGATTATGAGAGACGCCGTAGTGGAGGGCTCCGGAAATTTCGACCACCTGGGGTTCTTTAACGTGCACCCAAATCTGAGCACACGGGCCTACAACATTCCCGCCTCCATCGGATGATGGAATGCGAAGCAGCAACGTTGCGCACGGGTTGAACGGCGCTAACGCGGGCGCGGTGCCGAGCGGTAGAAGATTCGTTTTAAGCGATGGCTGGCCATGTCATTTCTTCAGAGTGGACACGGGTTCTGGACCGGAGCTGGCGCATATTTTGCCTTGACTACCACAACCTTGTGATCGATAAAGTGCGCACGCTTAGAAGCTCCTGCAGACATTCGACGTTGAAGTTGCGTGAGGTGTAGCGAGACGCGGTCACGGTAGAGAAGCGAGCGGCGGTAGCGGCAGGTGTTCTAGACGAATGGACGAGGTGGAAGCTGCTTGTGCTGCGGAGAGCACGCGGCAGGCGAGGAAAAGAGGGACTTCAGCGCGCACTTTGAGGGGAGCGGGACACGTGGCTGTGAGGTGACCTACTTGACACCGGTTTAATGCCTAGTTCACACTGAAACATCCGCTTTCTACAGCGACCGAAATTCCCCTGCCGCCGAAACGCAGCGTCCTTCGCACTGGACGCGCCCCGCGCCGCCGAATATGCCATCTACTGCGGGGCGAACGCGGGATGGATGCGCTGTCACCCGGTTGTTGTCGCGGCTCGCGAACGCCACTACGCTATCCGGTGGTGTATACTTCGACGATTCTCGTACGCAAGAAGCAAGACAGTACTGCTTACTTTGCTGGCAAGTGGCTGTCTTGTAATGCACGAAGAGCAGAAAAACCACCGACGCCAGCGGCGTTGGTGGGTTCGTTTTGCTCTGCAAGACCGCAACAAGCTCGGTCACGCCAACAGCAAGCTCGGTCACCTCTTTCACGAAATACGGAGGCGAAGTAGGCACAGAGTAGGTTAAACTCGCGTTGGTTTCAACGTTCAGTTACGTGCACTGCGGCATAACAAGTGAGTAGGGCTTGGCCGCCATTTTTCAAAATTCCTTGACTAGCGCTCCTATTGGTCCGCAGTGACCGATTCGGCGACAGACGCCGCAAAAATCAGTCGGAGAGCGATCGGCGCGGAGAGGGCCCTTTCGGCGGATCTCGCCGCCGCCGAACCGGATTCGGAGCACTTTCGGCGGCCAGAATGCTCAGTGTGAACGCGGCCTAACACTTGCGGCGAAAAGAGCGCGTTGCGGTTCGTTCGTATGGACACTCGGAGGGACCGCGTTACACAGGCTAGGGAAAGAGCTGCTTCGAATCTGAAAGTGAAATAATAATAAAACAAGCCTGTGTTTAGACGTTGCATTCAGCATCAACACAAGAAAACTGAGTAATGGGTTGCTCAAAGCTTCGGACTCCCAGCAAAGAAGGAAATCTAGATTGATGGGAGTCATAATTTTATAAAATATATTCATTTATTCACACGCTCACACAAGAGTTCGCACGCTCGTAAATAAACCTACCAGTGTTGGCCTTCAAGCGCTGTCTCTTGGTCCGGCAGCGTGCCACAATGACGAGCAGGAAGAGGAAGAAGACGGCGGCGAAGGTGACTGCGATGAGGATTACGACGAGAGAGTTGCTCTGCTCGCAGCCTCCCCACTCGCTACCTGCGAATGCAAGGAACGCGACGGCGGTCATATCGTTGAGGACGCACGTCGAAATCAACAGCTGCCGAGTAGCCTCGCAGCTGTGCAACAAAAACCCACTCCGAAACACGCACGCAGTACTATGGTGCGAAGTGCCATGCGTGACGAATGAGCTTAAGCCGCAGACTACGTTGGTTTTTGAAAGATTCTGTATTCCCCCCCCCCCCCTCTTTTCCCTATTATTGCTCTCTCTTCGCTCCTCCCCCGTAGGGTGGCAAAGCGAACACTTTCTTTATCTCTGTTTGTCTCTCTCTCTGGATCGATATGAGTCTAAATAAACAAGAAACTCTAAGGACGCAAGCTCATGACTGCCACATGCTCCTATACTACGGTAATATTCTGATAGGAATATGATATGCATACGTATGTATATTCGATTTCTCAAAATGTGACTAGCATTAACGGCTGATCAATCACTGTATCGTGCATAAAAATTATAGAGATACTGATTCACTTTTTAATGGCATGATACACTGATAGTTTGTTCATTCCTCCATCATTCTTTGCTTTGCGCCAAATTAGCGAAACTGCCTACCAAAACAAGTTACACAGCCCCAGATATATTATGGTAAAAGATGTGATAACTTGGAGTTTTATGAAGTTTTCATAATGATTGTTAATTTTATTATGACTACGTGTGACGCGTCTCCCCTGCTTATAGTGTAGCTCTTTCGTGTGATTTGTTTTTACAAGCAAGAGTTTCTGTTACTTCTTTGGCAGATAATGTTTTAAAGATTTTGTCAATAAATAGGCAAGTGCCTTATCCCACCACTTTAGGATGATAGTAATTTCTCAGGACACTGTATAAGAGCCCGAGAAATTTTCGCGCTCTTATCTGTTACTATTAGGTTTTGTATGCCTTTAGCGGCATCAATGAGCCTCTAAACCATCATTTATTCAGTCAACCGATTCTCATTTAGTGAATCTCGAGGACAGGGAACCAAGAGCCGAAAAGCACAGGTGAAGGTGGAACTGCATCCTTGATTGCTCCTGCTTGTGGCCAGATCGATCCAAAGTATAGGTATTTCTCCTCGCACCGCGGCTCCAACCTCTCTCTTCTTCTGCACGGGCCTCAGAGACCACTAAACGGCAATCGATATGAGAGGCGTTTAAGACGGTGCTGTGGCTGCTCTTTTAACCTGCTACTTTTTTTTTTACATCATCTGACTTTTTTTTTTCAAGTCCGGGATACCAGGTGGCGCAACGAAAATACCCAGCTTGTGCACTCGTAGGCTACGAACTCTACGCAGCGCTGCTTGTTAGCAGCAACTTGACGTTACGCTGAATTCTCTGCTGTGTCTATAGAAATGAAAAAGAATTCCCGATCGTGGTTCTACTGTAGCCAGTATCGTAATATGAATCAAATGAACGTCGTTCGGTGATCCTTAAGTCTGAAGAAGTGGGCTTGTACTCATATTCCCGAAACACACCCGTGTTAGAATTGTTTGAAAGAAAAAATTACAGTAAGTCATCATTATATCTACTTCATTTTAGCAAACCCGATCAGCCATTTGCATAGGAGATGCACAAAAAAGTTGTCTGGGCATTGTTAAAAAACAGTTAGGTTTCATATTCTTCATTTTTTCACTCCGAGACGTTAAAATATACAAATCCAGGAATATACAGTATTAAAACGTTGCTTAGGTACTTGTGCAATAAAATAGTTTAGAAGCACTACAGGTTATCTGGAATCCCTCAATCTTGTTATTCTGTGTTAGGAGCTTTACAAAGCCTCATTCGATCATGTTCGTTACCAATTGCCACCTATCAAGGAGAACAGAGCAATGAGTTCGTCTCTTTTTTTTTTTTTTCTAATAACGTACCGTGTCGCGAAATGCCGTCCCAATACCGGTCAGCGGCCTCGGCGCGCAAAAGAAACGGCTGCGAGCGGCCCATTTCGTTGACAGCGTAGATTACGAGCACGTAGTTGAGTCCCGCGGGCAAGCCTTGCACCCAGAAGGCCGGTCTCTCTGCGCTCAGGTTGGCCAGCAGGCGGTGGCACGAGATGTCGTGCACTTCGAGGTTGTACAGCTGGCGAAGCCCGCCACCGCCGCTGGGATCCTCTCGGCACTCGGCCAGGAGGGCGTCTTCCGTCTGGTTGCTAAGCGTGCAGTTGTACGGGGTCTTCGGAGGACCTGGCGTTGTGGGAGGAATAGAAGGAGAAGGCGTTACCAAGAGAAGCAGCCACTGTCTATCTTGCAATAGAGGACCAGTGTAAAAAACAAAGAAACAAGGTCTGTTATGTATCCGAGAAATACGGGTCGTTTTTCTGATAAGTCGATTGTATTGATACACCCAGAAAATTTCCGCACTGCGCGTGGTTTCTCACTGCTTTCGAAAATGGAGGTTTGCAAGCTTTCCTCCACGTCACGTGTTCTTGCAGTGCCTCTGAAATCGGCCCGCCTTCGAAAAATTAAAGACGTCACGTGTTTACCCCATCACGTGATGCCGTTATGACGTCACAATGATGTCCCAGATTTTGCTGACCTTTGCGTCGTGACGATGTCATAAAGACACGAGGAAGTCATGAGTTCTTTTTATCTCACATAGCTCTATGTTTTCTCCACCAACGGTGACGACAAATTGCCGCGTTTGATTAGGTATTTCAGGCTTTCGCCTTAACAAGTGAGCGACTGTCCACTGTAGCCGATATGGAAGCATGGCTCAGCGCAAGAGAAATGGCCTTGGGAAAACAGCATAGTAGAAAGGGGGTGTAAGAGTTTCGAATCAATGTGAAGAGCGGGCGTCCCTACATCTGCAACCTCAATAAACCAGGTGACGGAAGCAGTAGAATAACCTAGTAGAAAAAAGTTCAAGTGGTGCGAGAGAAGTCAGCAAAAACTCGAGACAAGGATGGAGTACAAGGCACAATTAATCACACACCGTCACCGGATGCGCCTCGAACGAAGATCAAGACGAATGAGGCTTCTTCTTCGTCCTTGTCTTTATATCTCGCAGGTTTATTTGAAATCTAAACATCAACCAACCTGCATAGCTTTTCACGCTCCCAATTTAAACAGCTAGGTGAGTCACGTGGAATCATGTGCCACACAGTAGCCTAGTTTTTTAGAACAGAAAGATGCGAGTCATTCTGACATTAGAGAAACCGTTATACAAAAATTGGTGATCGTAGTCTCTTTGTTTAGAGCCCCGTCACGTTATATACTCCTACTGGCTGTCACCAGAAGTGTACGTTGAGCCCGAATGAACACACAGTACATATGTGGCTAGTACTGCATTGGTACTTGACATCTACAAAGAAAAATCAAGAAGCAAAGTAAAGAAAGAAAGAGAGAAAGAAAAGAAAACAGATAAAAAAGAAAGAAAGAAAAACAAGAAAGAAATAGAAACAAGAAAGAAAGAGAAACGAGAAAGAAAGAAAGAAAGAAAGGAAGAAAGAAAGCGTTGCGCTCGCTTATGGCAACTCTATATTATTGAAACTCCGCGCGGACTTTCCAACGAGTGTCCTCGTAATCCGCAGATGAGTGTCACGCGCACAGACCGCCGGTATAGTTCATCGCTGGGCACGGAGCGTCAGCGGAGGCGGCATGGCACGCAGCAGCGGGCTGGTTTACGAAAATGAAGATGAACGCTGGCTTTTCTTCGAAGACGAGACGTTTAATGGTGGTTCGGCTTCTGAGCGCATCGAGAACCCCAATCGAATAAACGAGCTCTTCGTAAATAAAAGAAAAATGATCACTTCCTTACGCGGACGTAACACGACCAATTAAGGAAAATCATTTAAAGGTGGAATTTCAAACAACCACACAAAACCGCGGCCTGTAATTGAGAACAGCGAGAAAACCATTGCAAAAGAAGACGGCTTACAAATAATTCAACCCCATTAGGAAACAATAATGGACAGTTATTTCGTTAAAGGAAGGCACCGACACAACAAAACAATGCCTACATACGTCGGCCAGCACTGAAAAAGAATGCGATACGCGTAAGAGCGGAACGAAGTCAGTTTTTTTTAAATTTTTTTTTTCTCCCATCCTCGCAGGCAACCTGGTTATTGAGGCGTGAGCCGATAGCAAACGAAAGCAATGTCATTTATCTAGCTGTTGTCTCTCTTTCCTTTTCTCTCTCTCTCGAGTGACATTGAGTGATGGTGCGGCGAGTTTATTTACGACGACAAGGAATTTCGACCACGGCTTTCCACTCTATAGTCCGGACTGCAGTGCGGATGTTTATTGCGGTATCGTGAATTTTTTTGAGAGAGCGCGATGGTTTTACAATGATTAGCCGCAAGAACAAAAACAAGAACAGACGAGATTCTACTCGATAACATTGTTTTAGGCTGTATGAAACGAATCAATAGATTGAACCTAACAGGCATTCCCTGCCTTCAAGATAGTTTATCGCAGTATAAAAGTAGGAAAGAATGATAAGGATGGGCTTGTGCCTGAAGACACTGCCACGTTTCATACACGAAATCTTTCTTTATGTCATTTCTTCTTTCTCCCTGTTCGTTCAGCGCATTGCACGCTGGCAATGGTACCAGGCAGAAGCATATTTAGAGTCAAAAAAAAAAAAGAAAAACACCAGTCTCGCGCGGAGAAGCCGTCTTCAAACACTCTTTGGGTAACTGCTGCCATCATACTTGCTGGATTCCCACTACGCCATAAATCATCATAACTTTTGTGTAGTATGCAGGTATTCACTAAGCCATCCTTCGTCATTCTTTAGAAAAGTGTGGTACCTGCTGCACACTTGCAAGGAATGTTGCAATTTTTTTAAGCTGTAGCTGACGACGATGAAGAATAATGCCTGAGACTTTAGTAACGAGTTGAAGCATTCGATGATCCACTATAGTTACGCAATTCGCATTCTGTGACGCCTGGTTGTTTCTTGTTTCTTGTGTCCTGGTTGTTTCCCAACCCCTTTATTATATTAAGGTGATTCCATTGCCGACCGACATCAAGCCTGCCTCGGGTCAGTTTGGAACGGAGTCTCAAGCACAGACTTGGCTCAGTGGGGAAACACTGCGCTGGCACGAAAGGCACTAGGGTTCGGATCCCGTCGTGTTTTTGTTGTTTTATATACTGAGCTTTTTTTTCTTTATTTTGCGTGATAGTGGTAACGCACACCAGCGGCGCCACCGGGGGACAACTATTGCGCACGCCACTTTTGTTTTCATCTCATAGCAGCTTTCGCTGTAAAAGTTGATCTTGCATGATTCACCGGTAAGAGCCAGACGGGATGCGTGCGCTGAGCTTGTAATACATTATTTACAACATACTTTGTCTGCTAAGTGAGAAAGAGTTGCCGTTGCCACCATAATGACACGAACTTCTCCTAGTTCATCGTTTAAACAAGGAAAAAATAAAAGCCAACCTCTCAAACACTTCATTTTATCAAAATAGAGACTGGCTCTTAAGAAGCAAGTCTTGCTGTGTAATGTATGTGCTGCAATGCTTGTGTTGTGCATGAATTGCACTTTGTCGAGCCTGTTATCACGTATCCAGTGGTCATAGCTCGTCGTAACACTCTAGCAGAGGCCGGCTTCCCATGCGGAAGACGGCAGTGATTGAACTATAAACCTGAACATGTCTTATATTAGGTGGTGCACATCTGTCCCCCATTATTGGGGCAGACCAACACGGATGCGAAGCACCCGCGGTTATTATGACCAGTTCAACTTTATGAATGACAGCTGGTCTACAAAGTATGCTAGCCCGATGCTACATAGCCCCAACTTGCTCCACCCTCGCAAGACAAAGAAAGGGGAGCACATGATATGGATAACAGATGCCAATATCCTAACGGAGAAATTCTTCCACGGGCTCAATGTAGCTCAAGCGGTTGAGATTCGAAGGCAATTCGCGGAAGGTCTGGATTAAGAGGACAGCGCACCTGCTGGTCAGTTGCAACGTTGAAAGAGTTCCCAGCATGGCCTTGAGTCAACTATACCATGAAGCATTTAGCTGTGTTGTGGTTCATATACTTTGTATAGCATCGAGGATTTCTATCACCTTGTAAATATTCCCGATTTTTACTTGTCTATAAGCAATCAGTGAACCCAAGTAGCTTGGACGTAGCACCTTGCATGGCATCACATACACATAATAATATTTATAGTGGACTTGGAATTGTGCCCCTTAGAATGATATTCAGTAAGTGAGAAACGGCCTGTGCCACCGTAAATGTGCCACCGCAATATATATCCGGTAAGTCGTTTGTGTCACAGCTCACTAGAAATACAAAGCAGTGGGGCCTTACCATGCGTAAAGATGCGCATCAATATAAATAGACATGTGCGTGGCTTGAGTTCTACGGCTCAAAAAAGTTAGTGCAAATAATCCACATACGTGACTCTTTCCGTCCACTTCGGCTTACCTGCTCGAAGTCCCTACATATACGCATATCTCCAATGACCTAGTTACAAGAGCATACGCGTATGCATATTTGTACATTAGTCTGTAGAGCAAATGTATTTGCTTCTTTTGCGGAGTACTCACTCGTCTTCACGGCTATGCTTCCAAGCGCAGTGAGCCCAGCCACCTGTGTTATTCTGACGAAGACGACAAGCAAAAGAGCTTACGAAGAAAAGAAGAAACATGAGCATAGTGCACCGCAACATGAATGCGCCGAAACGGCAAGCTAAGTAGTTATGTGGGAAAGTCGATGATCCGCTAAAAGCAGTACGCTGTTTGAGGTCAGGCTCTCTACGCTGTCTCGGCCCTGTCTCGATCGACATACAAGTCTACGAGCACGAATGCCCGTAAATGTACGCCCATCTCTTTCACTCTTTCTTTTCATTCACCCTGCAAGCCATGTCCTTTATGCATGGTCGGGCAAGCCTACAGTACGGCTGTCGAAGCCCACGCAGTGCAAACTTTGTACCGCTGTTTCGCCTCCCCACTGAATACGACACGGGCCGTCTCGCATCTCGTGCCCACCCTATGCAAACGCGCATGCGCGTATGAGCGAGTCTAAGCAAACGGCGTTGCAGGTTCAAGTAATGAAGCGTGAATCACCTATTAGCGCACAAGTAAAATGGTGGACGACGACTGCAAACGTCCATACAGCAAGAAAATGACGCAAGAAATTACTTAAAGACAGCGCTTGGCTTAGAAAGAAATGAACAGGAGGCAGGCGAAGAGCTAGTATGTTCAACTAGTCTAGAAAAAAAAAACTGGCATGCTACCCTACGCTGATGAATTGGAAAGGATGTTTGCAACTTAGGGACAGAAAGAAAGAGAAAGAGAAGCGTGCACACGCACGCACACACATGCCCACACACACACGCACACACACACACGCACACGCACACACGCACACGCACGCACACGCACACACGCACACACACACACACACACGTCCACGCACACACGCACACACACACACGCCCACACACAGACGCATACCCACACACGCACACATACACACACACAAACACACACACACACATGTACACACACGCCCACACACAGACGCACACCCACACACAGGCACACACACACACGAGCACACACGCACACACGCACACACACGCACACACAGACGCACACCCACACACAGGCACACACACACACACGAGCACACACGCACACACACGCCCACACACACGCACAAACACGCCCACACACACACGCACACACACACGCACACACGCGCACACACACACATACATACATACACACGCACACACACGCTCACACACAGACGCACACGCACACACGCACACACACACACACACACACACACACACACACACACGCCCAACACAGACGCACACCCACACACGCCCACACACGCCCTCACACAGACGCACACCCACCCACACGCACACACACACACGCACGCAGGCACGCATACGCGCTCACGCGCCGCAGTCCTCCCTCTCCCTGCAACTCACACATATTTTGTTGGTGCAAGCAAACATAAACCTGTTCGAAATGTTTCAAACACCGCCTTTTTTATCTTTCTTACATTTCATTATTAATTATTTATTAATTTGTTATTATTTCATATGCCCCGTGAGGGGTATTACATGACGGGTGGGTATAACTAATACATATTGGTTTCTACTGTCCCTGAAGGATGTATGGATGGAGTGGTGTACCACGTCGGCAGGAACACGATTCCAGTCCTTGGCAGTCCGAACGAAAAATGAGTTCAAGTGGGCGGTAGTGTGGGCTGCAGAAAGATAAACTGCTTTTGGGTAGCCATGATGGGCTGAAGAATGATGCAAGGGTCAGATAGTTGTCTGTTTACGTAGAAAGTGATAGAACTTATGGAATAGACATAATCTTGCAGCTTCGTGGCGCTGCTCGAGTATTTGAAGATGAAGACGTAACTTGAGTACGTGGACACTGGTGTGACAAGAATAGTCCGAAATAACAAAATTAGCCGCACAATTTTGTTAGAATTCCAGCGCGGATGATTGATAATAGTTTGATGTGGGTTCCAAACTGAGGAAGCGTACTCAACCTTTAATGTAACTCAACTTATGTAAAGGTGGGAAGTTTTCACTGCATAGTAGATCTATAGTGTCAAATCATTTTGAATGAGGAGTAGCGAGAAACTGGAAAAAAGGAAATCGTTACTAAAAAGGAAATTGTTAAATCATCGTTGCTAGCAAAGAATAATAAAAGGGCCGGTTGAAGAAACGTTTCCTTTCGGCCCGCGGTTATGAAATGCAGCGTCTTGGTTTAGCCTATGGTATTTGTCGTGACGTAAAGTAAAATGAAGAGTAGTGTTCTCACCTATAGGCACAATCTGGAAACGGCAGGGCTCTTTCTGTCGGCCTATCTTGTTGGTGGCCCAGCACAGAAGCGTGCCGTAGTCGGCCTTGTCTCGCGGGACGTACGACGCCACGCTGCGGCTGCCCTCGGACACGAAGGTCTGAAGCTCGTGGTTGCGCAGACTGCCGTTGAAAGGCCCACTGGAAGCTGACGGCCGACGGGTGCGCGTCTACGTCCACATGACACCTGCAGCATCTCGTGCGCCGCAGCCGGGTACACGATTCGCTGGCGATTGGAACACACCGGAGAGTCTGATAGGAAAGCAAAAGAAAAGAAAAAAGGAGGATTGTTGAAATCAGGGCGGTGAGTTGTGGGAACATGACTATGAAGTTATGCCTGCTCTGAAAAATCATTAGGATGAGGTCCTCCTTATCATGAGTCTGATGCCCCACTGCAGCACAAAGACATCTCCCGTGTTTTTTTTTTCAGTTAATTCAGTCCTTTATTTGTTTCAGCTACCTTATAGCCGCAAACGTCTTACTAGTTTCGTCACCCTCCTTAATTTTCTCTATGTCCTTCACCCGCTTGCCTTTTTCTTATCATTCCGTCTGTTACTGTTAACTACCAGCAGTTATCTTGCCTTTGCGATAGATGCTCTACAAAAGACAATTTTGCCTTCACCCTTTTGAATAAGATGTTCGTAACACCACCTTCATTTTCCGATTACCTCCGTTCTGTTCTTGCACCTGAAGGCTACACCTATCAGTCCTGAATTTATTTGAATGGGGCTATATCGACTTAAGTCAGAAACCTTTTAGTGATTGGTCATGTTACTTGTGATTGGCCAGCAGCCTTAGCTAATTTTACCTGCTTGGCAACTGAGTGCAACTTACTTCTCGGACAATTCATGCAGAAGTGCTTGTATTTTTCTGGTCTTTCTTTTGATGGGCATGACAGCACAAGGGTTTGCTTGTTTAGTCACTGACGCACCCTATCACGGGTTTGTTAAGTATGTATGCAGCACTAGGATAAAGCGATGAGCGGAAACAGAAATTTGGCTTGAGTGACAGATTGTATGTAGTGACAAATTGTACTGCAGTATGGATCGACAATAAAAACTTGGAGAACGCTCGCTCTTCAAGAGTGGAACTTGGTAACGTAAGTGGGCCTCGAAAGCGTCCCCTTCTCAATGGCAAGCCTGGTTTCCGTGATCGGCATTTCGTGAATGGTATTGCTTTTCAGTAGAGTGATTATAAGTAGAAACACACTGCAAAATGAACTTGAACGGTGACACATTTTTACGCGGGGCGATTAATCCATCCAAACCTCATAGCACCTTGCTCATTCTTAGCCACCAGCTGACACGACTTAGCTAAAAAAAGTTGTGCACACAAATGTCTAGAAAGCGTCCTGTGAAACTATATTTAATCAGCCTTAATGCATTTAAAGGTTTGATTCTCTGTAATCTGCCATTGGCTACGATTTATTTTAGATACGGGAAAAAATGAGAATGAAAGAAACATAGAGTGCATACTCACATTGGACTTTTAGATGTAGCTCATTGCTGACTGACTCGCCCTCGGTGTTAATGGCGACGCAGGTGTAGCGTCCAGCATTCAGACGCTGGATGGCCTGGAACACGAGCGACTGGTTGCTCGTGATCACCTTGGCGGCCGGGTCTGAGTGCACGTCCTGGTTGCCTTCGAAACGCCACACCACTTCGCTCACGCGTGGATTGGCGTCGATGCTGCATTCCAGGTATACGTCTTGCCCTTCAAAAATCTCCTCTAGCCGCAAACGCTTTCCGAGCTGAAGCGTCACCAGTGGTTTGTCTGTGAAAAGTAAGGGGAACAAGAAGAAAGATAATAATACGAACTTTACTAAAGGATGCTCAAATGTTCCCGTCACGCACTATCAAGAGCAATGTGCGATCCAGAGCATCAAAGTCACGTTTGTATGCTGCAGTGCACCTGTTATGTAATTATATGAATGGGATGTACTGAATTAGCACAAAATAACAATACACTTGAACATTCAGTGTCATGAACACTCTTGAGCTTGCTAAAGGCAATTAGCCGCCATGTCTTTTAAAAAGCTATTTCAATGTCTTGGGTCATATTGTTCACTGTAGTACATATGTCAAGCGTTGAAGAAGTAGCCATGATCTGACAAAACCTCTGTCCAACGTAGCATTTCCACCATGAGACGTTGTGTGACATCTCTCTGTCCAGCCGCCTTCGCAGCTACCAAGTGGAGGTCCACGTCACTGATAGAGACCATTGCCTTGAAAAGTCTAACTGACATTGATTATGTTCCTTCTCTTGGCGTTAATAAACCCTACCATGTAGTTCGTTTTAGAATGCCTAAGTTTGCATAATCCGAGTTTACAACATTTCTTAGCTTTAAAAGGCATAATTTACATACAACCGTTTTTTGGTCCGAATTCACCAGGAAATCCATTTGAATTTCTGAGAAAGGAAAACTTCTAGTAGAAGAAAAGTTCATCCATGTCAAGGGATAAATTTCTTTTTTACTAAAAGGTTTCCCTTCTGAGGAATTCACATGGACTTCCTCATGGCTTCGGGATAGATTGGGGTTGTCTTCCCTTATGACTTTGGTAGTCTTTTCGCTACAATACAGGATTTCGCAGAGCTCGTTCACAGCATCTCTAAGCACATGCAGCCATGAACCTAATTACTCTGACGAGATATTCATTCTCATGCGGGAAACAATAAGCAGGTCACTTGAAAACAACTCATTCAGATTTCCTAGGATGTAATGCTGGGAGCAACATGATATCAGGCGATTAAGCCCAACATGACTCTATTTTTTGTATACTTACAGTGAACGTCAAGGCTGTACGACGCTTCGATGAAGCTTCCGACAATGTTCGGGTTTTCGGCAACGCAGCGAAGTCGCTTGCCGTTGTCCTCTCTCGTGGGGGTGTAGGTGACCACCGAGAAGACGCGATTTCCTATGGGCATCACCTGTGTGTTACAGGGAAACAAAGCAAGTGCTTTAGGTACAATACCGATCAAGTAAAACACATAATGCTTGCCACCTCACATCATGCTGTCAATATTTTGAAGGTAAAACTGTGGTCATTTTAGGGGCGAAGCTCCTTAGGGCGTGGGTCTTTCCATCCTCCGTCGTTGTCGTACGTAGCCACCGGGATGCGAGATAGGATTGATTGATTGATGTGTGGGCTTTAATGTCCCAAAACCACCATATGATGGTGGCAGTATTTGGAGTGTTCAGTAGATGGGTGCACGAATGAATGCATGGACAGACGGACAGACAGACTAGCAGACGAACGGACGGATGGATGGATGTGCGGAGCGGGTATGTGCCACAGGGGATGCGAGATGGCGGTACTTGGAGTGTTCACTAGATGGACGCACGGACAGACGGACGGACAGACAGACAGACAGACAGACAGACAGACAGACAGACAGACAGACAGACAGACAGACAGACAGACAGACAGACAGACAGAGGAACGAACACGTGGACGTGCGGGTGGATGGACGCATGAACAGACGGACGGAGGCATGGATAGACGCAAGGCTGGTTGCGCGGACGGACGGAAGCAAGAACGAACGGACGGACGGAAGCACGGACAGGCTGACAGACGCTTCGCCCCCCTTATCATCATTCACTCCGTGGATATGCTGTATTTTTTCTTTGCGGCATCACTCCTACCTCATTCCAAAAGTTCCAATTGCACAAATGTGTGTACATTAACATTAACCGTATGCCAAACGAATTGGTGAATTCAGCCCAGCCTTCTGAAGCATCATCCGCCTTAGTGCTCCCGTCCGTAAAGAGTTATTTACTCAAATGAATTCCAAAACTGGGGTACTATTTCAACTTGCCCCCCTCCCCCAATCAGTTTTTTTTTTGCAATGGGTACAGAAAAAGTATATATGACAGAGCAAAGAAACAGCACTAAACGTACCTTGACATGGTCGGTGGATATCTTGGCCTTTCCGCGCCACCAAGTGATGACGGGAGGTGGCCGTGATCCGGCAGCCTCGCATTCAATTTCAGCTGGTAGTCCGGCCGCCAGTGGACGCTGCTTGGACCGTATGCGCACCATGGATGGTTTCACTGTCCAGAAAAAGAAATAGAGCAGGAATTACAATATCGCAGCCACCAGACTTACGGAATGTAAGTTAATAAACGTAATTTTCCTGTTGCCTCCAAAATTTCGCGGAAGTTACCGAGGAATGGTCATTAGAGTGCGCACTGGAAAAAGCTGGTGCGCAAAGGCAGATTGACCGTAAACTTGCGTCAGTGAATATGGTAGTCACCAAAAGTCCGAAATCAAAGCAATGATCTACCTGTCTTCCTCTTTTGGGCCACAGTAAAAATGATACTGTGTACGGGGGTTAAGAGTTACTTTCTTGTTGGTTTATTGTCAATTATTGTCTTGCCTTAGCGGTACGTGCCCAACCCATGACCATTTCTTCTTCCTGATTTCGACTATGATATGCTTAACACCCGTTTCTTCTCTGATACACTCTGCTCTCTTCTTGTTCCTTAGGATTTCGCCTATTATTTTCTCTTCCATTGCTCACTGCGTGGTCCTCAACTTAAGTTGAACCATTTTTGCAATCTTTCAGGTTTTGACTCCATAGGTAAGTACCGACAAAAAGACGGAATAACCATTGGTCAATAAATATCAGAAAATGAATTCCAATCGAAGGCAAGCGGACGAGGGGGAAACAGAAAGTTAGGTGGGCAAATGAGATTAGAAAGTTTGCGGGTATAAAGGGGCAGCAGCAAGCACAGGACCGAGTTTACTGGCGGAACATGGGAAAGGTCGTTGTCCTGCAGCGGGCGTAGTCAGGCTGATGATGCTGATGGTAGGTTGTAGGAGGGTATTTGTGGTGTTCGAGTGATCATATTTTCAGAGGAACAAATCTAAGAGAAATGTCCCTGATGTAACAATTATGAGCCATATTGTCAACGAGCTTGTCCCAACGAAACGGTAAAGCTTTACTTCAAAAGGGGCCATGACATAGTCACCCAGAAAATTGCGCGCGATCTTCAGCAAGAAATGAAAGAAGATGGTCTATTGTGCCCATATATGCTTAAAAACTGAGCTGTGAAAGAATGTGTCATTTTAAAATGAGCCTTACAAATCGCATGCTATAAACCCCGTACACCGCCGGCGACAGCCATTTTTTTCATGGCGTGTCTGGGTTGAAGTCCTTCGTAGATTAGAGCCATCGTCATGTACTTAAGTTTCAGCCACTTCACAAGCTTATTCTTCACCAGCGTTGCCAGAATGTGGCACCATTAGTTTGTTTATAAAAAGCTCGTTATAAATTAAGTTCTCAACCAAATGCGCTGAAATTTATCCAGCTTCTTTGCGAACACCCAAGTATTAACCCTCATAACAAAGAGTATGAGCTGAAATTGAGTGTCATGGCCTCATTGTGAGGATACCAGTGCCTTACAAAGGTGCAGTCATCTACAAGAAATCGACGCCACAGAAAATGTTAACTATTTCAAAAAGTCCACAAATACCACCGTAGATTGAGTCTTTCACGTCAGGACTTCATCAAAGTTTTGCGTGCGCTTTAGTCACGCGACAGAGCTAGCCATAGGTCCAGGTGACCTGCAAGAAGTATGCCGTGTGCCCGCTGTGACGCCCTCCCTCCTTTAATTATTCACGCTCGCCTGCAGTCAACTTTTCCCTTGCGCTTCAATCTAATTGACTCCCCCTGCAAACGATGCGCAATGTATCACCGAGTCAATGACACGCGACCGCCGTCTCTCTTCTTTGTTCGCCGCAACACGGCCTGCGACTCATTCAATTCGACCGCTCTCTCTACTGCGCCCATCCCAACGCCCCTTATCCCCAGAGACCCCCCCACCCCCTCCCCCCTCCCCGCACTTGTGTCTCAGCGCTACCCAAAACATCTGAGTCATTCCATACAAACAGCGGCCCCACGCAAATCACACAGTCCTCCTCTTCCTGATTCAAAAACTCCTGTTTAGAGATCGACAGTGGCTGCGGTATAGCTTCAAGACCGCGTGCCGTCGACATCTTGCGTAATGACGAACGCGTTCTGCTTGGGTGATCGCGGGTGCGTGCTGTCATTCAGGAAGCACTCGAAGTTACGCCCCTGGCTGTGTGCACCTCTCGTGCCGGGAACCCCTTACCACACCTCATTTTGATGTGACTGCCCGGCACAATTGTCATTGTGAAAATCCAAACACAGAAACTGACACCCGGGTCGAGAATGGAGGCGGGGAGGTGGTCGGGCTGCGCAAAGTAAAGTCACCGCAGTGTATCATGACATGAAGCCCATTAGGCTGTGTGGTATAAGAGTACGGTAATATAATGGGAGGGGTATTTTGCCAGCCTCATTAGGACGTCACCCATAAAAAAAGAAGAACAAAGCATTACGTCACACAATTGGAGGTCACCCTGTCGGCCTAACCCGCGATCAAAACGCCGGAGCTTGCGGTAGTTTTAATACTCTCGGTGGTGTTCGGTTTTTAAACCTCAACCGACAGCCGGCCGATTTGCGCTGAACAAGCACGCTTCGAATGATAGCTACCGGGTGCCATATTTTGAAGTCTCGGCCAATCTCATTGATTGCGTCATCTTGACGCAAAACGTCACGTGTTGGGCCGACACTGCTGGCTTCAAAACCGATTGGCTTGCCAAGTTTGGCTGCGTGACTTGATACACCCACCTTTCTCTTTCTTTCCTCCACCGCATCACTTGACTTCACCGCAAGCACGTGTACATAGTAATTGGACTGGTACACAAATTAGGAAAAGTTAGGTATTCAAATGCACACCATGAAATAACGAAAAAAAGTATACAAATACGCAAATTACCCCTACATGCTCAGGCGCATCACAAAGCACGAAAACAAGGTGAAAACAAAATTATTGACACAATACTTCATCACTCTTTTTTTTTTCGGAGGTAATATAATTGAACGCACTTTCTGTTGTACCCTCTACTGCTTTATCCTCCTTTCCTACAAAGGCACTAAGCAACGAAGTTTAAGCAATTATTTTATGAATACGTTTCTATTTGTAAAAGCTTTTTCGATGATTTATTCACCTCACTAATAGTCACCGGCCTCATCCACATGGGTGGAAAGGTGATTACTTCTCCGCTTCAAAGATTTGCACTTCCACGTTGCTCCCACTGTTCAGCATCTCTCACTTTTGATTTTTGCATTATTTCTTCCTGCAATTCACAGCCCATAAAATCGTAACATGTTGTTTGGTATGAACGGATAAAATATTTTGAGTTTTCAACGTCCTGTGAAGAAACAGTTTGCAAGTCACCAATGATCAGCTGTGACAACGTCTTGGTAAACTTTAGCGCTGTGCGGGCATTTCATGTGTACGAATATTTATGTTTTAGAAACCTTTCTTTTTGTTTATGAGACGGTTTTTTGGTTTTCAACAACTGCTCAAGTGCGTGAGTGTTTCAACATGTGCCCATTCACCTACTTCTGTGCTTTGCGACAACTCTTGGTTGTCCTGGCAGCTATTGGGCAAGATAAGAGAGTTTAATACATTTAGCACGAGCTCTCCTTATAATTTTTTTACATTTAATAAAAGCCAAGAATACAATTAAGGTCTCAAACAATCGCACGTGTGAAAAACAATACACATACATCGGCACAATAACTGAATGCGGACGCACACACCACTGGTTACGCAACAAAAGGGTTTATGTCACGTGAAAACGAAAAAAAGTGATACGCAGATAATATGTGCACCGCATCCGTCACTACGGTTCCTTTTGCATCATCTGGTAAATTGCTGCGATAAAACTTGTAAGAATTTAGTTATAATGTAAGTGCTGTAACGGAGTTGCGGCTCCACTCTTTGTTCGCAGCGATATTGCGGAATATATTAACTATCACTAGGCCCCTAATTTTTGTTTTATAAAATGTTTTGAGCTGTGCAAATGGAGTTTTGGAGGATGGTAGACGGCACTCATAATTTCACCCTAAGAAGCACTTTGTCGCTTTAAAACAAGTCAGATATTACTTCATTTTTTCCGCCATAATAAGAACAAAGAACAATATAATAAATGCCCACCACGGGTGTAAAGTTTGGGTATTCATGAAAAGTCTAAGGTATTTTTGGTGTTTCATCTTGCTACATTACCTACTTACCAATATTTCAGAACGTTAAGCTTATGAATGTACTGCTTGAGGTTTTGGACTGGATTACATTCATTAGTTCTGTAGAGTTCTACCTGTTTTACTCTTGATACTCAGTGGAAGTAAACAAAGCAGATAAAAAGTTTGCCCTTTCTAGAGAGCGTGAAATCTCGTCAGATCACGCTTGAACGAGAAAACTCAGAAACCCGGCTCCCGCATCCGTTAACGCATTTCCCCGAAACTCTAGCAAGAGCAGCCATCCGACTCGTCGTGCGCACTATGCACGAACCAAGACGAGCGCAAACAAATTATCGCATCGCCTCTCACGCGTACCATGCTCGGTAAAACGGCGAAAAAGAGAAAATACGCTCTCTGTTCGTCACATACTTGATTAAATTTACGGTGGAAACTGCACACCTCTGGAGTTGTGCAGGCGAAGAGGCTGGCAAGACTGATTGGAGAGCTCTCTACGGGCAAGGTCGTCGGTGATGGTGTTCGTGGTAACTCCTAAAACTTGAACTACTGAAAGGCAGCGGTTATCACTTACGCTTGTTCCCGGCATTTCTTCGGCACGTGTCTGTTTTTTTTTCTTCTACTTTGACGTGGTTGGGTATGCATGAAAACTGGGGCCATTAGTTAATTGGAAGCCCACTACTTTCGGTCTTCTGACACCATGTCGATCTCGGTTTTCGAAAAGCCGCGTCGATAGAAAGAACTTAGTGCTTGCAACAGTGGCTCGTGGAAGTTGTCAAAATAAAAACTAACGAAAACTTTACAACAGTCTCAGACAGTCAAAAAAAAAAGCACAGTTCTCGCTTCTGGCATGAATTAAGTTTGCATTATAAAACAAGGAACGTAATCCTGTTCTATTCATGCGAGAACTAGTGACGTGCTGAGTCTCTATAACGAAATTATTATTTTATCCACTGCTTAACATAATTCTTTATTTGTCACGCT